CTGGGAGAACATGAAGCACCGCAACAGACGAAGAGCTTGGTTTTTTACCCGTCTGTTCGCTTTCCATTTCTTCTATATGCAGTAAGTGGTGATATTGTTTAATTTGAAGACGGATGTAGGAAACAAGAGGTGATGTTTGTTGCACGCGTTCTGTGTACTTCTCTTTAAGAAAGAGTTTCTGAGCTGATGAGTTGCTGTTTTATTCTGACAGAAGCCAGGTATCTATCAGGGATGGAGCAGTGATAATTTTTAATGAATATCATAATGAATTTCATACAGCCCAGATGCCCCTCATGTTGACAAATATTTCAGTCTATGCTCTTTCAAAAATATTAAGAGAATAATGTGAAGAGAGTCTGTTTGTCTTCCCTGAAAGATGTAGATAGGTTTGAGGATATTTGTACGCTTGCTAACACACACAAAAAAAAAATTAAATAAACCTCTAGTCTTCCAGTATTTTCTGTAAAGGGAAGCGAGCCATTTTGGAGGTAGTGTGAGGACACGGAGCTGTACCCAGAATGGCAGGGGGGGGCAGCCCGGCTTGTCCCAGCACTCTGGGAGACGTTCTTTAGTGCACGCTGCAATATTGCGGCTAAGGGAACTGTTCAGGCTCATCAGGAAAAAATTTGATCATTACCAAAGTTTGCACTGGGACTTGCTCAGTATTTCTTTATGCTAAAGCAGTTATCTAAACCATAGCTTAAAAAGGTACGGGGACAAAGTCTGCATTTAAATAATGGCTCTTGGTAGCTCTGAAGGAGCTGCTACTGGCGTACTCTGAATAAACAGCATTTTTAAGAATCACTTTAATAATGTAAAAAAACCTCCTGATGTTATTCTGCTCTAGCTAACAATGGCTTGGGGCTGGGTTACCTGCAAAGATCTCCGTGCCCAGACATTTCCAGATTCTTCCTTTTCTTTTGATTAGGACCATGCTGAAAAATACCAGCCTCCTGAGATGAACACAGCAAAGGACCTTCTCATGGCAGCCGAGTGGACAAGTCCTGCAGACCCCGAGCTCCCCTGGCCAAGTACATAGCGGGGGCCAGCCCTCCCTCCCAGATCCCCAGTTCATGGTGGGGATGTGTGCAATGGCTCTGGCTCCCCAGGCTAAGTTTGGCTGCATCTGTATCATGGGAGGACCAGTCTCCAGGCAACGGCAGAGAGATGGAGGTGATGGATGGAGCGGATGGTCCTCTGGGTCACGCTTGGGCAAGGCAGGCTGCTGCCAGGCTGACTTCAGCATCCCCCATCCAGGGGAAGGGGAGTGCCTGTGTCTGTGAGGGAGACAGTGCCTACCAGAAGAGCAGGGGCCTGTGACGATGCAGGTGAACGATGTATTTCTAAGGAAAAAGAGAAGCGAAAAGGGGGCAGAGCATGTTGGAGGTAGGCTGTGATGCCAAACTGCCCGTAGCAGCTCCCCGGTGGGGACAAGTACCAACATCAGCCTGGGTTTACTCTCTGTGCTGATTTCCTGGAAAGATTTTTATTGCTTTATTTAAAGCTCGCTTGCATTTCGCTGACGGATGCCCTTGCGTTATCGATTAGCTTACACAGCCTGAGGGATGTCAGGCTGTTGCCTTCGAAAAAGAGCTAAGTCTGTGCCACAGTCATGGCTGGCTGTCGCAGAGGCGTCAGGGGATTTGGTGGAAGCCTCTCGAAAGCCTGCAGAGGAGCTGGAGGGCTGGCATCACCCATCAATCTGAAGTGTGAGTGGCCCAGGGCTGCAAGCAATGCTGCCCAACAAACAAAAGTGTTTAAAAGCCGAAGGAGCCTCAAAAGCGAGATTAAAGACCACAGAAATTATTAAGAAGTCCCTTTGAAGTGCTTAACAATGTATAGACTATATCACTTACTACTAAAGGCTGAAAAAACTCCTGTTTGAGTCTCCAGGACCCCAGGATGCCTGTGAGGACAGTAGAGTCAGTTGGAACATTTCAGGCTGTGCCCGTTGGTGTCTGTTTGGTTTATTTCTAGCTTGAATATATGTCTGTACAAACATATAAATCGATGCCAATTTTAATCTCATTGTTCAAAACCTAAATTAGCACAGATCTGACATTACGTCTGTTTGGTTTATTTCTAGTTTGAATATATGTCTGTACAAAATATAAATCAATGCCAATTTTAATCTCATTGTTCAGAACCTAAATTAGCACAGATCTGACATTATTTCGCCACCAGAAATTAAAGCGAGTTGTTTCAAATGCCAGATTAAACCCAGACATTAGACAGCCGTGTAACAGGAGAATATTTTGATGCAGGAGGGTCAGCCTTTCCTTCTAGGCAAAACAGAGGTGGTGCAGTTGATACACTTGAGGGAAGGGACGCCATCCAGAGGGACCTTGACAGGCTTGAGGAATGGGGCCATGCAAACCTCATGAAGTGGATGAAAAGCTGGACATGAGGCACCAATGTGCACTCATAGCCCAGAAGGCCAACTGCATCCTGGGCTGCATCAGAAGAAGCGCAGCCAGCAGGTCGAGGGAAGTAGAGGGGTCTGCCCCTCTACTGTGCTCTGGTGAGACCCCACCTGGAGTACTGCGTCCAGCTCTGGGGCCCTCAGCACAGGAAACACATGGGCCTGTTGGAGCAAGTCCAGAGGAGGGCCATGAAGATTATCAGAGGACTGGAACACCTCTCCTACGAAGAAAAGCTGACAGAGTTGTTGTTCAGCCTGGAGAAGAGAAAGCTCTGGAGAGACCTTATTCCAGCCTTTCAATACATAAAGGGGGCTTAAAAGAAAGATGGAGAGAGATTTTTCTAGCAAGGTCTGTAGAGACAGGACAAGGGGCAATGGTTTTGAACTGAAAGAAGGTAGATTTTTTTATGATGAAGGTGGTGAGACACTGGAACTGGTTGCCCAGAGAAGTTGCAAATGCCCCATCCCTGGAAGTGTTCAAGGTCAGGTTGGATGGCGCTTTGAAAAACCTGATCTAGTGAAAGATGTCCCTGCCCATGGCAGGCAATTGGACTAGGTGATCTTCAAAGGTCCCTTCCAACCCAAACCATTCTGTAATTCTATGGTTTTGATGGAAAATTGAGTCCCAGCCCTTTGCTGCATGCGGTCAACTAATACCTGACTGTCCTCCAAACACTTCAAACCCACTCTGTCTTGTGTGGCTTTATCTGCATGCAAATATGTTTGCAGTGATTTCTTCTGAAGGGAGGTTTGTGAGATGTGCAGGCTGCAGGGAGCAAGCAGCGAGGCTTTTTCTTTCTTCTCTGTGGCTCACAACTCAGCACACATGGGCTGTGAGCTCTGGGAGCACCATGAGCCTCCAGGCTGTTCTGTCTTTTTTCCCCTTTGCTGAGCATTATCCAACACATTTTTCTGCACTCCTTTTGCTGTGCTGATAGCCCAGCAATCAGCTTTCCCCCCATCATCGAGCTCAGTGGGAGCTGATACGGGAGTTTACTAGTCTGAAAATTAGCTCTGGCAAGACAAAGAGCTGGCAGACCGCTAGTGAAACCATCCTGTCTCACACGAGCGTGGTGCCTGCCACACGTCTGCCTCAGTTTTCCCACCGTGTAGCTCTCCACCTCGCTTGAGCCGGCTCCTACTTAGTTGGAAGTCGAGTCTATCTTAAGCATGGGCAGGCTTAGGTGATGCTCCTAACCTAGCAGGAGGGAGGTCGTGCACCCACCCACTCTTAATGGGTGCAGTTCTGGGGTTGCCTCAGGTAAACTTGAAAATGAAGGTTGCTGAATTCACTTCCAAAATGGGAAACAAGCACCAGTTAATCGCTTTGTATCACTTATCTTGAAATTTGGTTTGTAAATGCTGGCTGTTTTCACTGCTGATTCATCTGTGATGAAAGCTCATATGATAGCATCAGAGAAGTACAGCTTGTAGCAGGTGGAAAGAATAGAGATCTCCAGATGCCTTGGCATCTGGTGAGATGTATATAGGATTTTGGGACTGTCCTGGAAATAGAGTAATGAGACATTTTAATTAAAAAGGTAATTACACACACTTTTTTTTTCTCTTATATTGCGTGGATTCAGGCCAGCAGGTGCTTTTATTGTGAATCTGAGGGCTAGAATTTATTAAAAGCCTGGCTTTCAAATAATAAACCTGCAATAGTGGATGAATTCCACAGCAAATTATTCCTCTTGGAGCTGGGGGATACATTGGGCCCTTTTCATTCAGTCAACACACTTCTTGATTTCTATCGGGTTTAGGATGGATGGTACTTTGTGTGACCCAGGGCAATGTCAGGAATGTCTGTCTCCAGCAGCAAATCCCCCAGAGCACTCACCAAACCCGCACGAGGAGGCTCACAGCCTCCCTCCAAAATGACCAATTTGATATTTCTTTTCGGTCTCGGACCACTGTCGCTTGGATCCGAGTCTCATTCCGGCCCAACTTGGGAAGTAATTCCATCACTATCACCAAAGAAAGTATGTTGCAAAATCCCCAGAGTAGTTTTTATTTAAAATGTTACTATCATAAAATTCCAGACTATGAAATGAAGACCTCAGATTCAGATTCAAACCTTACCCACCCTCCCTTTTTAAAATATATAGATACATAGTCACAAAACATAAAACATGCTGCAATGATACAAACATATTTTTTGATACGGAAATTACAGTACATTATAAACCATGAAAACAAATTGAGGCACTAGACTGTACATCAGCTCTGTTCTGCACTGGCTGTGAAGCTGATAGACTTGCTTTCAACAAACAAAAGAATATTCTCTTTGTTGAGTGAACATAACTTTACGGGTCATATCAAACAATGTGCTTTGTTGTGAGACGTCACCAGGGTTGCTGGTCCTTTCAGAACCACAACGCACCTACACAACACATATCGCTGCCACAATATGAAAAATAATCATTTTATTGAATGTACAACTCAAAAAAAAAACCCCAAACAACCCCAACATCGGTTATTATTAAATAAATAATTATTCCATACAGTGGTTGGTTTATATTACACTGCATTGGCCATTGGAACAAATGAAGTTTAATAAATAATACACGGGAATGTCTCATTTACGCCTCCGTTCGTAATTCTGTGCTATGCTCCTTTCAGAGGACCCTGCAAAAAAAAAAAAAAACCAAAACCGAGTGAAGCATATGGTGCAGCCTTGCGTAAACCCCAGCAAGCCCAAGGAGACATCAGTGCAGTCTGCTGGGTCACTGCCAGACCCCGTCAGAGGGTTTGGACCCGAGATGGGGGAACCCGGCACAGACCTGAGCTGCTTTGATTTGGGTTTTACGCCTCAGACTACACTATCCTCCAGGAGGCCGAAGGTCTGAGCAGTGCTTTCTACCTCTCGTCTATCGAGCTGCTTGAAGGACCATTATATCAGAACCTTTTTATGTCCCAGTAATCCATTTAACTGATGGGATCTGAGCACTCAGATCAGTTTGTGGGCAAAGACTTTCTGCATCGACATTGCCACCTCCTGTCCAGCAGAGCCAGCTCTTCGCCAGGTTTAAACCCTCCCTGTCCCCAAGCCGCGCACACAGTCATACCTGTCACTAAAATCTGCAGCAGGAGCTAAGCAAACCTCAGACTACCCTGTGGAGCAACCACATCCCAAAATAGCCTTCAGTAACATTTAGTAGCAGTAGATATCTCCTTCTTGCTCTGTTAAAATGAGAGGGAAACCCCGAGAGCCCATCTTAGGCAGAGCCTAAGATGACCATAGGGTGACTTAGCTGGTCACCAGAGCCATCTTTGTTTCCACCGTGGAGAGAGGACCGCTTTCACGGAGCTTATGCGTGCCTGACTACTGCATGCAAATGCACAGCTCGTTTGGGGGGGATTCAGCACTGCATCCTGTATGGAGGTGCCATTTTAGACGAGGGGTTTTAAATTAAGGTGACTCCAATTTTCACCAAGCTAAGCACAAAAGTAGTCGAGCTTTCTTAATATGGATTATTGTAATATTTTACTGTACGTGTGGCTATGTTGTGGCTTCTACCTGGACCATTCATCCAACAGACCCCACAGCTTGGGAGGCAGTGTCAGACCCCATTTTACCAAACCAGGGACTGAGACAGCAGCACCCCGGTACCCTGCTTTGTCACACCAGGCTTTAAATCAACATCGCGCTCACGCCCAGCAGCGAGGCGGTGTGAACTCCTACACATCGCCAGGGAACTCGGGGGTTTCCTACAGAAGAAGAAAACCACGGCATCAAGACACAGCACCAAGAAAAGGTGCAACTAATTCCTGCTCAGTTAAACATCTTTCAGTAGGGGGATGGACAGTCCTAGCACATACTCCCAGTCTTGCTTTGATGACACAGTCCTTAGGAACTATCTTCTCTAGAGAAGCAGAAGTAACTTCTTACCCTTTCCCTCTCAGGGAACTGGGCAGAAAAGCAGTGAATTCTAGTTTTACCTGTTAGGCAGGTATTACATAGCCTGACAGGGTAAAATTTTATTATTCCCCTTTGTTACAAAAACCACATAACTGTATCCTGACTACACCAGCAATTTTGAAATCAGGACAATCAAATCTTTGCCTTTTTTAGACATTTTCTGTATTTTACATTCTCATATTAACATAAACATAATCCCAGTGGAAACTGAACCCAATTTATGACTTCGAGGCTATTTACTTTTGTGATAGCAGATATATTTACAGGTATTATGCATTTAATAGCTATTGCCACCTCAGATAAAATTGTACAAAATTATTCATGATACATAGCAATTTGCAAAATGATGCAGAGAACAATATTACTAGTCTGAACAGGGTTTAATTGAAAAGTTACTGACAACCATAATTGCAGAATATAGATCACAGCATGTATCCACATAATATAAAGGTGTCAGCTAGTAATTTAACTTTTATCATCCATTTAACAAAACTATTTCAGAGACGTGAAATACGCATGAGGGTTTTTATTTTTTTTAATTCCTATTCTAGGGAATTAACTGACACTTTATGGTTCACAATGAGGGATTTCCTCATTACAGCCCTATAGCACAGGGAAGGTAGACCTACTGGCAGCCTGCAGTTACCCACAGGGGTTGTGCACATGAGGGAGGAGGATTCTGCCCTATACGGATGCTATGGGAAAGTAACAAAAAATTCACAGTATCAGTTCAAGGCTTTAAATGGTTTTTGCTATTTTTGTTTTTTAGGTAAAATGAAAAGCTGGAGGAAGCTCAGAATGTTTAACAGCTTGACCTCCAGAATGAGGTGGGGTTAATGGCAGATATTTGCTCGTTCACCTCCCGCTCAAGTTTGAGGAATAGCGATCTGCCGAGACAATTAGGGTATCCCTTTATCTGGGGAGATTTGGATTGGGATCACAAGTTAAAATGAGCTTCATATATCTCGCCTCTGATTTTGTTTCCCGATTTGTCAATAAAATTTCTCTTTTTTTTCTTGTAATAGCACTTTGGGGACCGACAGAACATGCTGCTAGAAAGGACAAGAGGCAGTAAGGAAAGCACCCTGGGGACATCTACCTGACCTTGCCTGAACTATGGCAGCCCAGACCAGCCTGATCATCTCAAGCATTAGAGCGAGGTGGACCCTGAAATATCTTGGTTAAGAAAGAAAATACTGATCCTTTTACAGAGGACTCTAGGTCTATGCTGCATAAAGGCTGCTTCTTCCGTCTGCTGGGAGAGAACAAAGAGGCAACAGAATGAAGAGGCTGTACATCACCGAGTACCAGATTTCGTCATATACATACCAGAATTTAAAGATCTTTTGCCCATAAGTCCAACAAAGGAGTCTGTTTTATGCCCTGAAAAAATATATTTGGGGGTGTTTTAATACATTGTCAATAGGCAGGTTTTTAAGATAACGTGTTCTCACAAGGAAGGAAGACATAGGCTCCAATCTGTTCATCTCATATACTAGATGTTCACACCACTCTCAGGCAATGGAGAAGGAATAGCAGTCCGTCTCATCACTGCAGGCAGGTTAGATCAAGGCACAGGCCAGCTAGTGGACATCTTTTGATTCAGATAGATTTTTTGTTTGGTGTTTTTTTCTTTTTGTGATTTTTTAAGTTTAATGGGGGAAAAAAGGCAAATAACTGAATCTTATTTGCCTCCCAGTACAATTCCTATTGATTTGAGCAAATGAACAGGAAGGCAGTAGCTTGGCATCTGTGTGATGCCTCTCTTCTACTTGTTGGTGGTTTTTTTCTGTAATGCGGAAGAAAAATCTTCTTCGCAGGTCAGGCAGAGCCCTTACTGGAGAGGAAGCCAATGGGACTCTATGTCTGGACACGTCTGAGCTAGACAGTCTGGCTCTATTTTTGGAATATTTATGAGTTCAGATATTACCTTCCTGTCCCATTAGTACTCCTCAAGGCATTGGATGTGTAGAGGATAAATTACTCCAAGTTTTGGCCTACAGCACATATCAGATACAGTGGTAGCTATAGTTTCAGATAAGGACCTAAAAAGGAGCCATTCTTCTTTCTCTAAGCTGACTTTGAGGCAAACTTAGAAATTTCTCTTTGGAAAGAATTTTGCTTGGCTAATTCATCTACAAAGCAAGACGAATGGTCCCCAGACCTCACAGGTATTAATTCAAGCTGAAGCCGTTTCAGAAAGCTATAATTTTTTACTTTAGTCAGCAGGTTACTTGGCATGAGCTTTATATCGGACTCTTTAATTGGTCCTCCAATACATAACCCTAGTGATAAAATCTCGTGGCTAACAGAACACCAGGATGATTATTGACCTCTGTGGACAGAGGAGGTCTTACAGAATACAAGATAATTTTTATTTATTATAAGGCTTCCGCCTCTTGTCTAAGCACCTTGTGATAAACTCAGAGAATAAAATTATCACTGTGCAGAAGAAGATAACACCACACTGCTGATACCATCTCCTGCTTGGTGTTACAACAGAAGCGAAGCAACACACGCTTCTTAATGGGGCAAGATATGCTTGTTTGTACAGCAGCAGATCATCAATCAGCCCCTGCTGTGAGTGGGGGTCTGATTCCCACCCAGGCAACGCTGAGAGCACAGATACAGTATCTCGCCTGTGATGACATGGGCTCTCCCGTGCAATCGTTCTTGGGGATTTGGGAATTCACTGTTCTAATTTTCCAGATTTTGCCGTCTTAATTGCTCCTCTCCGAGTCTGGCAGTGAGCCTGCCTTGCCTATGAGAAAGGCTTACAGAATCCTCCCCATGGGAAATAAGAGAGCTGCAACATCCACACATTAAAGTGGATTGAAATCTCAAAGCTTGTGGCGGCTCAGATGAGGTACAGGCTCACGGCTGCCCTGGAGGGTTTTCAATCCCTTAACACAACATTTCTCCACCACCGGTGCTGCCGGTCCTTAGCTGAACCCAGTCACCTTCTAACAAATCCCCTCAAATACACTATTCCCTATTTGAATATCTTCTAATAATTACTTAAAATATTTGCAGTTTTTTAACTTACTTTTGTGAGAGATCTGGCCATATCCTGATTGGAAGAGGAAAGGAAAGAGAAAAAAAAGGAAAAAGAGTTGTTGAAAAAGGATTGGTATGTACATATGATGCTACTGCCATCCTTTGAAGAATCAAATACAGAAACTACGCTACATGCATTCCACTTAAGGGAAATTAAGGTGATCATTTGTAACTGCATTTCTCTTTGGAGAGACTACAGAAACTTGTTTTAGCTAAACTCATGCAATTTAGATCTGTATAGCTCCAATTTCTTAGAATAATTCTTGGATCAGTAAACACACAGAAAACACGGCAATAATTGTATACACAACCAATTTCCACACTCGGGCAATTCTGTGGCACATATGCCAACTCGTGAATTATCGTGATACTCCTTACTGGTATTTATGTGCTGTAATTGGTGTGCAATTAGCACTTGAATGCGGAGCCCACTCTTTTCCAATCGGTGAGTTTATCTGACATGAAAATTGCAAAAACAAACAAACAAACCCCCAAACAACCCACATTGCAACTTTTGAGAAAGGTTTAACGTATTAAAACCGAGTGACAACCGCTGTAAAGTTTGGAGGGGCACTAAGAGGCATGCGGAGGGCTGAGAGGGACCGAGTCCCCCCCTGCCCCGCTCACCGGCATCCCGCTTGCCCATGAGGCCGAAGAACTGCTGGGGCCGGGGTCTCCGGGCCATCCTCTGCAGAAAATGCTCCAGGGGCAGCGGCAGCTCCTCCTGTGGGGCGACAGCGCCGGCGTTCAGCCCGGACCCCCCCCCGCTTCCCCCGCCCGGGCAGCGCCCGACACCGACACATCCCCCTCCCCGCTCGCCGTTCCCGCACCCCTGCGGGGTCGGCGGGCGGAGCAGCG